ATCAGTAAAGGTATGAATTCTTATTGACCAGATGTAGCAGAGGTATGAGAAAAGATGAGGCACTAATTTTTATGAGAGCTTTGAATACCAAGCAAGTATCATAGTAGATATGAATAGTGAAGCAACACAGACACTCAAATGGGGGCGGCAGAGATTAAAATCCTGACAGTGGAGCCAGGAAAGCAAGCACCAATGACAGAGGCTTCAGCAGCACCCTTACAGCTGCCACACTGCACACCTAACAGCTGTGAAAGTTGACTAAAGCCAAGGTTCATGCTCCAAAGCATGATTTAAGATGTCCTGAACATAAAAAAGGAAAAGTCTTTAGGGTGGCTGGTTTCTTCTTTCCACACAATGTCAATCTGCCTTACTTTTAAGGACTCTGTTAGTGACCAAAAAAGTGATGATGAACTATACAAAATGTCCAGAAAAATACCAGCTACCAAGAATAAGTTTTTCTAATTTTACAGTTTGTTTATTAATAAATAAATAAATAATTTGACCAGAGAGGGACAGAGTGAGAGAGTACGGGGTGGGAGATAGTAAGAAAGCAAGCCTCCAGGTCCAGGACATGAACCACAGTCAGTCATGAGGGACCATTGTGCGCCACCTGTTGACCCCCACCTCCCCCAATAATATTTTGAGCTTTGCAAAAAATTTTTTTTCTTTTTCTTTTCTTTTTTGAGAAGTTTTTGCTATAGGGTGCATGCACTCACAAGAAAGAGAGAGACAGAGAGACAGAAAGCGAGAAATCACCCCCCGGGGGGGATGGCCATGCCACAAACCCTTCTCCTCCATTCTCCTCTCAGGATCTTGGGCACCTAAACATACGCTCATAGTGAGTTTAAGCCACTGGGTCTGGGACTCAAACCGTGGTCGACTACATGGGAGTCCAGCGATATAGCCATTATGCAAACTGCTGGTCCATGAGCTTTGCAAAATTTTAAGCCTGCATTGTTTTAGTCTCTCCAATAATTATGATGGTAACCAAAAACCATCTGGGGAAAAATAGTGCAATGGTCTTATAATTTCTGTTTAAAAACCAGGTGATCTGAATTATTTCAAAATAAAATTTTGGGATGTTTTTATCCTCAACTGAAATTTTTTTAAAGAATTATTTAACTTTATTTATTTAACTATTTTTAATTTCACCAGAGAGGGACAGAGTGAGGGAGAGAAAGTGAGAAAGCAAACCATCAGGTCCATGACTCAAACCACAGTCAGCCATGTGAGAGTCCAGCACCCTTAAGCACACCACCACCTGCCAGCCCCCTTAACTGAAAAAAAAATTTTTTTAAGAATTTCTAGCTTTTTTTCCTAATTATCTGTTTAATTTTATTTATTCATTCATTTTTAGTTTGACCAGAGAGAGGCACAGAGCAAGAAAGACGGAAAGGGAGGAAGCTAGCTGCCAGGTCTGGGACTTGAAGCATGATCGGCCATGTGGAAGTGTCCAGCACCTTAACTACATACCACCTGCTTGTCCCCCTAACTTGAATTTTAAGAAATAACTTAAAAGGCCAGTCAGTGGCATGGTGGTTAAGGTGGCTGGATCCCACATGGCTGATTCTGTGGTTCTTGGAGTTGTACAGCTTGAAAAACACACTGGATGTGTGCATGTGTGCCCAAAATTCCAAGAGGAGAATGGAAGCGAAGGATTGCGGCATGACCATTCTCCCAGGGGGGAGGGGGAGTTATTTCTCACTTTTCCTCTCTATTTCTCTATCACTTTCCCCCTCTATTTCTCCCTGCATGCGCCCTGTAACAAAACTTAAAAAAAAAAAAAAAAAAAAAAAAAAAAGAACCAACTTGGTAGGACCAGCCTGAGCTTATTATAGTTGGAACACTTAGATCCCACATGGCCAACCACATGGTTTGAATCCCAGCTCTGGCAGCTCAAAAAACATGCTAGGCTGGGTCAGCAGGTGAGATGGAGGTTAAGGCAGCTGGATCCTATGTCGTCAATGGTATAGTTCCAATCCCAGACCTCGTGGCTCGGAAAACATGCCAGATGTATGTGCATGCACGTCCAAATCCCAAGAGGAGAAAGGACTGTGTGTAACATGGCCATCTCTCTGAGAATGCTTTCGCATTTGCTCTCTCTCTTTCATCCCTCTCTTTCTCCATTTCTACAGTAAGTGTGCATGTACTACAGTAAAAACAAGTAAGAAAAAAAAATGTATCCACTCTTCATCTGATGACAAAAATAAATTCAAAGAAAGAAAGGAAGAAAAGCATGCTGGGTATGTGTGTCCAAAATCCTGACAGGATGGAGAAAAAGAGAAGAGAATATAGTGTGACCATGTCCCATTGGAAGGTGGCTTTTCCTCTCTCTGGCAAGCATGTACACTGATAGAAGGAAAAAAACAAACAAACAAACAAACAAAAAAAAACCTCTCTAGTAAGCACATGCATTATCTGACAAGAAAGAAAGAAAGAGAGAAAAGAAGTAACACTTACCTCGGCATATGCCTCCATGTCTTCCAGAAACTGACCAAGAAGAGTGGTAGAAAATGCAAGATCAGCTACCCAAAATGGCTCCAAACTCTGCAACCACCCTTGGAATCATATAAGAAATTTTAAATCAGTAGGGGGAAAAAAAAATCCAAATGAAAAAAACACTTAAAAGACATTTATTTTTATAAAGGTTTCTGGTTTTCAAATTGTCTACCTTTAAAACATATCCTACACACCATAAAATAAGATTGAGAGTTGCTGAAAGAGCTAGTCAGGAATAACCAATGGCTCTTTTAATGCTATATAAATTAATATTCCCCGGCAATGACAATCTACCACCAGTCTGGTTTTCTAACCTTAAATGACATCTAACCACCAAATGTGTACACTCATCTCTTCAAGGTAAATGAGACAGAACCTCTCTCTCCAATGCATTTCATTTTCAAAGTATACCGTACCAAATAAGCTAAGAAAACCTAAAATAACTATAACAAACTGAAATGCACAAACAAATCATGCTAATCATTCAATTCCAAAATAAATCCAAAACAAAAAAAAAAAAGAGTCATTTATGACAGTTCCCCAAATTAATTTTTTGTTTTGTTTCAATAGTTAGAAATAACAATAAAAAGTCACAAATAGAAAGTCTACATTTCGGAAAACTGTCACTATCACTTCCCCTACCACTACACACTACAAATAACCAGGAAAAAGTTCAATTTCTCACAGATGCAAACATTATGATCTGTACTTACTCCCCCTATCTGCTAACAATGTAAATTTTCCCTTGAAAAAGTAAATCTAGCTAACTAGTAATGCTCATTTATAATAACCAAAGTTATTTCCCTGAAGCAACTAGTTAGTAAAGACATATTAACAGCTGGTCTTTGAGAGACCAACACTTCCTTCTAGTATTTAAATGATGCATATGCTAAACCACTTACCAGACACCTGCTGTGTGAGTGAAGGTTTCTGAGTATGATCTATATGCCATCCAACTAATATATCAACTGTATCCTTGATAGAGACAAAGAGAGGGGACCAATCATTTTATGATCTTTGTCATTCCACCTGTGGACCACTTCACAGTAAAAGATCCTAGAAAGAGCATCTATGTTCTATCTACTTGATATTACAGAAACTTAGAAGGGAAGAGGGAAGGGAACAGAAGAATAAAGGAACTCCATTTATGACAATGACAAGGTTTTAATGTCTTTTACATATTTTAAAGTATAAATGACAGATGTTTTTAATATAGTATATCATTGCGCCATTTAACTTAGGACTCTCAAACATACTCAAACATAGTCAAAGGAGCAGAAAGCAGCAGTTTTCAATCTGATTTCTCAGTTCCTCACATGCACAGCCATCCCTCTACCCCACCATCTAAAAAGGAAATAGGAAACTCACCCTAAAATTAGTGCTGAAAATATGAGGGTAACATCGAGCCACCAAAAGAATGCACTTAACACATTTGCAAAGTAATTCTGGTGTATCCACATTTTCAAGAATGGACTGCAGGCTGGTCATTACAAGCTTAAAAATAAAAGTCACAAACCACGACATTCAACAAAATAGGGAAAAGACAGGCAAATTGGCTTTATTATTTACTAGTGACCATATCTAAAATGGACTAAGATACCAGAACAAAATAAAGTCTATGGTTTTAGCTTTAAAAATACTGAAACTGGAAACCAGCAGTTAGTGTAATGGCTATGTCGCAGGACTCTCATGTGGTCGACCGCGGTTCGCGTCCTGGACCTGGTGGCTTAAAACTCACACCGGGCACGTGTGCACGCGTGCCCAAGATCCCAAGAGGAGAATGGAGGAGAAGGGATTGCGGCGTGACCATCCCCCCTGGGGGGTGATTTTCGCTTTCTGTCTCTATGTCTCTGTCTGGCAAGCGCACGCGCCCTATAGCAAAAAACCTCTCCAAAAAACAAAATATATATATATTGAAACTATTTCATGCCACTACGATATTAGACTAAAAACAAATAATGTTTTCTTTAACATTTCTTAACATCAGTCCTAAGTATCAGATGCTTACTTATTCCTGGGTACTCCCTTTATCTAGCTGTGATTAAATTTCAAGTACAAAAAGCAAGATGTATTTGGGAAACTGTTTTCTTTAATGTACCACAATTACTTCCCAATTCAAAATTCAAAGCAAATTTTATCCAATTTATGTTTTAGAACAAATTTTATTCAATGTGCTTCAAATTGGAATGACTTAGAGAAAATCAACATATTACACATGAATGACATGCAGGCACTTATTACGACTACATATAGATAAATATTCTAAAATCAATGTATGGCATACCACTGATTAAATACTCTGCAGCTGTCAAAAACTATCTTCCCTGCCCAAAAGAAAAGCTGCTCTTGGCAACCAGCAGTTAGCGTAATGGTTATGTCGCTGGACTCCCACGTAGTCAACTGTGGTTCGCATACCAGACCCAGTGGCTTAAAACTCACGCTGGGCGTGTGTGCGTGCGTGCCCAAGATCCTGGGAGGAGAATGGAGAAGGGATTGCGGTGTGACCATCCCCCCGGGGGGTGATTTCTCTCTTTCTGTCTCTAATGTCTCTCTCTGTCTGTCTGGTGAGCACACGTGCCCTGTAGCGAAAATCTCTCCAAAATAAAAAAGAAAAGCTGTTCTTTATAAAAGAATGTTATACATGAAATACTAAAATTAGAAAACCAACATTTTGTAATAGCTAATGTTACCTATATAAGCACAGGGTGTTGTTACTGGATGCCAGAATCACTGCATGGAATTATTACTTAAAAAAATAAAAAAAAAGAGACCAGCAGATGGCATAATGGTTCCATAGCTGGACACGTGGTCGACCACAGATCGAGTCCCAGACCCAGCGGCTTAAAATTTACATCAGGCACATGCATTTACATGCCCAAAATCCCAAGAGAAGGAACTGTGGCATGGCCATCCCCCAGGGGTAGCAATTTCTCACTTGCTGCTTCTCTTGTCTCTTCGGCAAGTGCACACACTTTTTTTAAAAGTCTCTCTTTAAAAAAAAACAAAAGAAAATAACAAAAGAAAAACAGTACATTTGAAGGTCTCAAGGTACTACACCCAGACCATTCTTTAAAAAAAAAAAAAACAAAACAAAAGAAAAACAGTATATTCGAAGGTCTCAAGGTACCACACCGAGACCATTCACTAATTACAAAGGGTTTCTTCCTCTTCGTAATAATCCTTCACAATGGAAGGATCTGGTGTTCACCTCAACCAGGTAAACATTATGTGCATGCTGGTGTGACTCAGTAATAAAAATGAATCTGTGAAGTATCCATGCCCCAAATGAATAAACAGAATCTAATCAGGGAGGAACAATAGACAAACTGAGAAAGTAGAGCATTCTGAGGAGCAAGAAAGGAGAAACGGTATGAACAACTTTTCTACTGTAAGAGAAATTAAAGAGGCATATCACCACAATGTTCAAATCTTGATAGAATCTTGGGTCAGGAGAGATATAAGCTATAAAAGATATCTCAGTCAGTTGTAGAAATCTACAGATGGACTATAAAATTCACTGTCTTACGTATGACTATAATCTTGCCACCTAGAAGAATAGCTTTATTCTTAAAGGCTATGTAAGGTGAATTGTCATAATATGTTACTTTCACATGGTTTAACAAAGAAGTACGTGCGTAAATAAAACATCTATACCAAAAGGTTAGTAAGTAATGAGTATAGGTGAGGAATATGTGGCTATGTACTGTACTAGTCCATCTTGTTTTTCTGCGGATTTGGAATTTTTCAAAACAAACAGCTGGGAAAATGTTTACAACATAAAAACCATATGAAAAAATAAGCCAAATTTGATGTTATACTGTTTAGTCAGGTAACTTTCTGAAACTCGACTAAAAATATTCTAAAAACCTCTAAAAGAATACATTTTTTAAAAAAGAAAGATTTTTGCAATAGGGTCTATGCGCTCACCAGAGACACAGAAACTGAGAAATCACCCCCCAGAGGGGATGGCTATGCAGCAATCCCCTCTCGGGATCTTTGGCAAGCATACACACGTGTCCAGCATAAGTGTTAAGACGTCGGGTCTGGGACTTGAACCATGGTCAACCACATGGGAGTTCAGCAAAGTAACCATTACATCATCTGCTGGTCCCAAGAATGCATTTCTAAAGAAGACAGAACTGGGTCTAGCAAATGGTGTAGAGATTCCGTCACTGGACTTCTACAAGAAAGACCATATATCAAGTCCCAGACCCAGTGGGTTAAACCTCATGCCCAGCACATGTGCATATGTGCCCAAGATCTCAGGAGAAGAAAGGAGGAGAAGAGATTCGAGTGTGGCCATCCCGCCTGGGGGGTGCTTTCTCACTTTCGCTCTCACTGCTCCTGTCTGTCGCCCTCTCAGGAGAGGGCACACACACTAAGGCAAAAACCTCTAGATGCAAAAACCAATAAAGGACAGAACTATTCCTTATGTCTTTTATATTAAGAAAAAAAAATTATACTTACTCAAAATAAGAATTTTAAAGAATAAAAAATATATTTTTGAACTACTGAATCCTCACCAGTATCTTATTTTTAAAAAAATAAGTTCGATAATTTAATTACTTAAAATCTTGCTCAAAAGTAAATCAGGGGGCCAGCAGGTGGCATGGTGGTTAAGGCGCTGGACTCCCACATGGTCAACCATGGTTCAAGTCCCAGACCTAGTGGCTTGCTTTTTTCAATTTTTCTCCCCCTCTCTGTCTCTGCTTTTTTCCAGTGAGTACAGGTGCCCTGTGGCAAATTAAAAAGAATAATGATAATAAATAAAATAAATCCTTTAATAAAAACTAAATCAGAATTATATATATATATATATAAATTATATATTTTTTTTAAATTTATTTGACCAGAGTAAGAGAGAAGGTGAGAAAGGAAGTTGCCAGGTCCAGGACTCAAATCACTGTCTACCATGTAGGAACCTAGCACCTCAACCACCATGCCACATATTGGCCCCCCAGAATGATTTAATATATTTAAATACAGGAAAGAGAAATAAAACTTAAAAGAGTTGGTATTCAAATATATACATAATTGCATTTTATTCCTTGGAATAATAATTTCTGACAAGTTATTAAACCTAAAAAGGCTTAGAAATAAGTTTTGATGTTTAATTTCAAAAGATAAGTCCCCTCCTATCTAGCTGTCCTAGAGGAGTTTTTATTTTTAAATCTGCAAATCATCCCAGTACTAAACAACTTCAAAGGATAACTTTTGTAAAGCAAAATGATAAAATTTTTTAGAACTCATTTTAAATCTACCTTCAACATATATCCTTTACTCAAAACCAGAGTGAATAGTTTTATTTACATCATATTTACTATCAGTAGATAGCCCATATTCTAAGATTCCTGTAAGTACCTGTCCGAGGACATGTGTTTATTAGGACAATTTTCTTCTCGAGTACATCATCAATTCCCTCCCCAAATTCTTACCTGCATTACAGATGAAAAGGCTTTCTTCTCTCCTACAGTCTCTAGTGCTTTGTAGGTGGCACATAAGTAGAGGAGTTTAACTTCATCTTTTGCAGATGAGCTAAATTTGCTAAAAATCCACTTGAAGATCTTCTCAGCCTCATAGCTCAGAGAAGCACAAAGAAGGCCAAGACAGCAAGCTCCTTCCTGTCTCAACTCCTGAAGCAATTTGCTACTGTGTTTATTTTAATGCAAGCAAAAACAAAACACACAAAAGGCTTCAGCTTTCAAAAATGACAAAAATGACACATCTTACAAAAGAATATCTCAAATGATTTTTTTTAGTTTCTATTCAAACTACACATAAGGTTGTAATTTTATCCAAGCTAAATATTGTATTCTCTATAGTCTGAAATGCCCAATGTACCTTTGCTAGACATTTTTTTATTCTCTATAGCCTCAAGTGCCCAATGTACCTTTGCTAGACATTAGATTTTCTTTTGCAAAATCAATTATTTACAAACAGTAAGGAAAGGCCCAGAAATGCTAAAGTTCAGGTTTCAAGTACCATCACAAACATAGTAATTCACATAAAAGGGCAGCAACAAGTTATAAGACAAAGCACACTATAAATAACTACATTCTATATAATATCCAATATGTAAGGACGGTCAAATAAGAAACAGTAATAAATATATAAACTTAAAATAACAACACTAATTTAAGTACATTAACAAAAAATTTAGCTATATCTGCCAACCAGATTCTAAATTCTTTAAAGAAAAAGAAAAAAAAAAACACCTAGGACCAGCAGGTGGAGTGGTGATTAAGGTGCTGCACTCCCATAGTCAACCATGGTTTGAGTCCCAGACCTGGAAGCTTGCTTTCCCACATTCCCTCCCTCTCTGGTCAAATTAAATAATAATAATAATAATAATAATGACAATGGGGAGACAGCAGGTGGTGTGGTAGTTAAGGAGGCTGGACTCCCACATGGCCAAACATGATTAGACTCTCAGACCTGGTGGCTTGCTTTCTCACTCTACACCCCCCATTTACTTGTTCATTGTCCATCCCTGGTCAAATTAAAATAAAGTTATATAAAATAATTCTCAAAAATAATCAATAATAATGGTAAATAAAATTAAATAATTTTTTGAGAGGTTTTTGCTATAGGGCACGTGTACTCGGAAGACAAAGAGAGAGAGAGAGAGAGAGAGAGAGACAGAAAGCAAGAAATCACCCCCCCAGGGGGGATGGCCATGCCGCAATCCCTTCTCCTCCACTCTCTTCTCGGGGTCTTGGGCATGCACACACGCACCTGGCATGAGTTTAAGCCACCAGGTCCAGGACTCAAACTGCGGTCGGCTACATGAGAGTTCAGTGACATAGCCATTATGCTAACTGCTGGTCCCTAAAATAATTCTTTTTAAAAAACCTAATAATATTCATTCACGGCTGCATTAATAGTTTATGTCATTCTACAAGTCAAGATTCAATAAGATTGGCAAATTAAAGTGGGGGGGGGAGGACTCCTCCCTTTTTAAGTGGATTCCATTTGTATTCAATGGTAATTAATACATAAATACAGGGAAAAAATGACAACCAGGACCATGAATCAGGTGGCATGATAGTTAAGGCACTGGACTCCTACTTAGCTAACTACAGTGAGAGTCTCGAATCATACCAGGTACATGTGCGTGCGCAATCCCACAAGCAGAATTGAGAAGAGGGATTGTGACATGGCCATCTCTCTTGGGGGTGATTTCTAACTTTACCTCTCTCTCTCTAGCAAGCACACCTGCCCTATGGCAAAAACCATTTAAAAAAAAAAAACAACCAGGACCCAGTAAAACAAATTATTTATAAACAAAGCTAATAGGTTTATCTTTTGTGTGTGTGTGTGTGTGTGTGTGTTGTTTGTTTGTTTTTAGAGAAAGAGATTTTTGTTGGTATAGGGCATGTGCACTTGCCAGAGAGACAAAAAGCTAGAAATCACTCCACAGGGGGGATGGACACACCACTATCCCTTCTCTCAGGATCTTGGGCATGCACATACACATGGCCCAGCATGATTTCAGCCACTGGGTCCAGGACACAAGGCACAGTCAGCTATGTGGGAGTCCAGCAACATAACCATTACACCATCTGCTGGTCCCTATCTTGTATATTTTTTAATTTTAAATCACTTATTTTCTTAATTTTACCAGAGAGCAGGTGTGCTCACTATAGAGAGGGGAAGTGATAAAGTATCTCCCATGGGGGATGGTCACATCATAATCCCTTCTCCTATTTCTACTCCTTTTGGGATTTTTTGGACACACATACACACATACAACACACATGCATGCCCTCCCACCACAGCATGTTTTTGCAAGCCAGTCTGGGATTCGAACCATGCATTTGGCCATGAGGCACCTTAAAAACCATGCCAGAGGGACCAGCAGATGGCTTAATGGCTATGTCGCTAGATTCCCATGTAGTCGACGGCGGTGCGAGTCCTGGACCCAGTGGCTTAAACTGATGCGGGCAGCGTGTGCATGCATGCCCAAGATCCCAAAGGGCGAATGGAGAAGGGATTGGGGCATGGCCATCCCTCCTGGGGTGATTTCTTGCTTTTTGGCGCTCTGTTTTTCTGGTGAGCGCACACGCCCTATAGCAAAAACCTCTCAAAAAAACGGGGGAGAGGGAGGGGGGGACCAGCAGTTGGTGTAATGGCTATGTCACTGAACTCCCATTAAGTCAACCAGGGTTCGAGTCCCAGATCCAGTGGTTTAAACTCATGCCAGGCGCATGTGTGTGTGCCCAAGATCCTGAGAGGAGAATAGAGAAGAGGGGACTGTGGCATAGCCATACCCCCGGAGGGTGATTTCTCGCTTTCTATCTCTCTGTCTCTCTTGTCTTTCTGGCGAGCACACGCACCCTATAGCAAAAACCTCTCCAAGAAACAAACAAAAAACCCAACCATACCATAGGCTGCCCCACATTTTAAAATAATTCCAAAAAGGTATTTTGAAGTCATTGAAATGTAACCATTATTAGTTACTGACCTTTCATTAAGCACATCATGAACAGCTGCCAAGATATTATCCAACTGTTTTACTAGTACCTTTAAAAAACATAATAAAAACTTCAAATTTTAGTAACTTACTTTTAATAACACTGTTTTTTTCCTTATTATTCTACAAATTATAATTGAATAGCACCTTAGTTTCCTTACAATTCCAAGCCCCCCACTTAGCATGTAAAAGGAATGTCATAAGTTTCCTTTCAGACTATGAAAGAAATTCATCCATTAGAAACACAAAAACCATGATCAATTGGAAAAAAAACAAACAAACCAACTCAAAAGTTTATTTACTCTTGAAAAATGGATTGATGGATAGATGAAGAGATATGTGACAAAACAATACAGTGAAATGTTAATGACAAAATTTAAATGGTGAGCATATGACATTAACTGTAAAACTCTTTCAAATCACTATATATTTGAAACCTTTCATATAAAATTTGGAAGGAACATGTGCTTTGAACCAAATGTCATTAGCTTCACCATACTAACTGTCATTAATTTTCTCTTGTTCCATATCAAATTAATTTAACATTAGGAGAATTACTTGGAGAAAAACTTGCAACTGTGCCTGCACTTCAATGTTTTAAAGGGCTTTTCCATTCACTTAGCTCTGACTACCATGAACAAAATATGTATCCATTGTCCCCATTTCACATACGAAAAATAGAGAGTATTTTGTCCTGGAATACAGGAATAAAAATTCTGTGGACAACAGATTACTCACACAATAAAACATGTTAACAAATTTAAAGTATTGATACTTTATTATAGCAGGCACCAATGTGGTCCAACAATAGACATGTGTATGTAAATTACACATTAGGGGGCATTAAGCTTTAAATCATTGTAATGCAGTCCAAATAACCATGGAATAAGGAATCCCTGTTATTTCTCCTTACAAAGTAAATCTTTTCTTAAATTACTCTAGGTAGCATTATCTAGCGTATTATGGAAACTGAAAAATTACCAACATTTCCAAACCCACTACACTAACCAGCTTATTTTCTGGTTGCTGAATAAATTCTTTCAACTGCTTTACAGTAGCCAGTCTTCGGTCTCTGTCATCTTCCCGGGTGATCCTCCGAAGAAGATTCGACAGTCGAGACTCATCAGAATAAGACATCGATCGCTCTGTAAATATAAAAAAAAGCGATTTTGTCACCCAAAGAGTAGAAATAAGCAGAGAGACTTCATAGCCCACGTATCTTAAAGTACATCAAATACCATAATCTGCTGGACAAATAAAGTCAAAACATGCAAGTTCTGTCATTATTCTCCATCTCTACATATCAACCGTCAGCAGAGAGTGCCTGGCAGATGACAGATCCTCAAAAAAGATTTGCTTAAGGGAACCAGCAGTTAACATAATGGCTAAGTCGCTGGACTCCCATGTAGTCGACCGCGGTTCACATCCCGGACCCGGTGGCTTAAAACTCATGCCGGGCGCGTGTGCGTGTGTGCCCAAGATCCCGAGAGGAGAATGGAGGAGAAGGGACTGCGGCGTGACCATCCCCCCGGGGGGTGATTTCTCGCTTTCTGTGTCTATGTCTCTCTCTGTCTGGTGAGCGCATGCGCCCTAGAGTGAAAACCTCTCCAAAAAAAAAAAAAGAGTAAAAAAAAATTTGCTTAAGAAATGAATGAATGACTAATCCCAAGCAAACTCAAAAACTAATTCCAATGGACCAGTAGAGACAGAAAAAGGCTTAGAAACTCTTTTCTCTGGATCTGTCCCTTACTGTTGTCAACATCCAAATGAACACAAGTCTAGGTAAACAGTGGAACAAGTTAGGCATAAAATCTCAACTAGGTAGAAACAAGTTGTACACTTGGGTTTCTCATTTAAGTATCCTAAAGATGGAAGCCTCTTGTTCATGCTATCATTTCCCTACCATAAAGTAAACCACAATCACACATTCAGTTTAACAAATATCTAATCACTATCTACCACGTATAAGGTATGAACTGCTAAAAAAGTGACAAGCCATAATCTTATTTGTTCTTATTTAACTATTTTTTAATATGCCTTGCTAATCATTCTGAATGGCCCTTCCTGTTCAATGTTATTTTTTTTTTTTATTGCCAGAGAGTGCATGCACTGACGGGGGCTGGGGGCACCCCTACTATGAGACATGGTCAAGCCTCAATCCCTTCTCCTCCATTTCTCCATCCTCTTGGGACACTGATGTGTACATACATGCACCCAGCCTGTTTTTCAAAGCAGATGTGGCCAGGATTCAAACTACAGCCAGCGGTGTGGGACCTGGCTATGGGTCAGCCTTTCCTTTATTTTCCTTACAATAGCAACAAGCACAAAGGCTTAAATGTAGGACAACATTTATATATATATATATATGTGTGTGTGTGTATATATATATATATATATACACACACACATATACATACATATATACACACATATGTATATATATGTATATATACATATATACACACATATAAATATATGTATATGTATGTATATATGTGTGTGTGTATATATATATATATAGAGAGAGAGAGAGAAAGAGAGAGAGAGAGAGAGAGAGAAAGAAAGGATACATTTAAGGGATAAATTTTTCAAGAAAATTTTTTCTGCCATTTTGTTTACCATAATCAGCCAATATGTACATAGACAGAAAACATTATCAAAGGACCTGACAGTTCCATTTCTAAGGTATGAAAAAAAAAATGTAAGAAAAGAAATTACAACATCTTAAAGTATGTCAATAAGATTGGATGCCAAAAGCATCATTAGGTTATCAGTTGTGAAATCTAGGCTCTACTTACAATTCTGGCCATCAGCAAACTACTGAAATACATAACTCAACCTGAAGGAAGAGGAATTGGACTAAATTAGCTTAGAGTCACATTCTAGCTCCATAATGCCATAAGTCTAAGGCTTTAAACACTATATTAAGAATCAGGGCCAACCTCGTATCTCCAGTAGTTAAGGGAGCCAGATCCCGCACAGCTGACACAGCCACGGTGGACTGAAAAACACACTGGGCACATGTACGTGCATGTCCAAACTCCAGACAGAACGGAAAATGCAAAAGGGATTATGGTGTGACCATCCTCTATTGAGCACTTTCTCCCTTTATATTTGTTTCTCTAGCAAGCACATGCATCCTGTGGTAATTTTTAAAAAAAAAAAGGAAGGAAGGAAGGAAGGAGAATAACAGCATAGCCTTTGACTTAGTCATTCCATTTCTGAAAACTTGTCCCCCTAAAAATCACGGTTTTTTGTTTTGTTTTGTTTTTTCTTTTTTGGAAGTTATATGCAAAAAAGGGAGGAGGGACTAAGCACAAAGATGTTCACTAAGCACATCACACAGATGCTGGGGAAAATAGCCATAAATTAAATATCCAAAGAGTAACTATAACAGACAAAGCATATAAATCGGAATCGTGATTTCATACTCAGTTTAAACCAATAAAATGAATTTCCCTGTAAGGAAAAAAAAATTATTACTACCTTTAATCTTCTGAATTTTCAGAATTTTACCTATATACCAACCGCAGTTTGAGTCCCAGACTCAGTGGCTTAAACTCACGCCAGGTGCATGTGCATGCGTGCCCAAGATCCCGAGAGGAGAATGGAGGAGAAAGGATTGTGGCATGGCCATCCCCCTGGGGGGTGATTTCTCACTTTCTATCTTTCGGTAGCCGTCTGTCTTCCTGGCAAGCGCATGCACCCTAGAGCAAAAACCTTTCCCAAAAAAAAGAACTTTACCTTCATAGTAAGGATTGGGTTAAAAGGCAAAAAGTGGTATTGGTGCATTAATTTTAGTAATGGGACCACTTATCCATAATTTTGAATTTTTGGACCACAGGCCCAAAAGTTCAAGGAATGCTACAGTAAGAATTTACTATACATTCAATATCCATGATTGTCAGGAAAACCCTCTCTTGAAGGTCTTATCCAGTTTTTTTAACCTCATTTTAAGAGAACCCTCTTCTAAAAATTATTAAAAACCCTTCTTGTGGGAAATTAATGATTTACAGAAAAAAGAATGCAAACAGTTATCACCTACAAATCTTTACTTTCAACTCAAAGTAAAGTAATCAGGAGGCCAGCAGGTGACATTGGTGGTTAAGGCACTAGACTCCCACATGGCTATCCAGTTTCAGTTTAGGACCCAGCAGCTTGAAAATCATGCCACGCACATGTGCATGATGTCTAAAATCCAGAGAGGAGAATGGAGAAGGAACTGCTGTATGGCCATTTCCCTAAAGGGTGATTTCTCAACTTCCCTCTCTAAAGGTCTCTCTAGCCAGCACAAGTGCCCTATGGCAAAACCTTAATAAAAAAAATTTAAAAAAAAAGGGGGGGGAACCAGCAGTTAGCTATGTCACTAGACTCCCACGTAGTCGACCCCGGTTCGCGTCCCGGATCCAGTGGCTTAAAACTCACACCGGGCACGTGTGCATGCGTGCCCAAGATCCCAAGAGGGGAATGGAGGAGAAGGGATTGCAGCGTGACCATCCCCACTGGGGGGTGATTTCTCGCTTTCTGTCTCTATGTCTCTCTCTGTTTGTCTGGCAAGCGCACACGCCCTATAGCGAAAAACCTCTCCAAATAAATAAATTAATTAAATTAAAATAAAAAAATTTTTTTTAAAAAGCAATCAATTCATGCCTGTAGAAGGCACTGGGAAGAAATGAGGGATCAAGGCTAAGAGGAAATATAAGTATTTATAGAGGCCTACAAGACTGGTCCTGCTGGCCCTTGCCTTACCCTGTGATTTCCTCATGTCTTTGGTGGCTAATGCACGACTGCCATGCTGAACACTGGTGAACTCAGGGCTGGTCACATTATTAACCCTCAGCTCTTGCCCCAACGACTTCCGACCATAAGTATTTTCCCCAGATCCTCCATTGACACTGTAGCCACCTAAAAACAAAAACGTTTACATTATTTTAATAGGAATAATTATTTCACTCAATCAACTGCTGATAGTCAGGATGTTATAATATCACCCAACCTGCAGCTAAATCATTACCCTGTGCCTCTACCTTTCCCCTGCCTGCCTTGAAATCATTTGGAGTTCATTTTGGTTCTTTCATTGGAAGATAAGTAGAGAAATAAAAACCAAATTAAGTCAGATTTTTACACAATTTAAAAACTTTTTATAAGTCTAGAAGAAAGATGGTAGTTGAAAGGGAGTTAAGCCTTAGCCTTAATAATTTTTTTGACAAGGAATCTGTATTTGTATATTACATGTATGAAAACTTTTTTAATTTAAAAAGATAATAAAATTGGGCAAACGTTTCAGAAATAACACTGTACTTGATATTTATATCTTAAACATTAGCAGAGAGGGCTGTAGAAAAGGAAGGAAGGAGCTACAGGAAATAAAGTTAAAAAAAAAAAAACGTTTTTAACAGTAAGAAGATACATATATATATGTAGATATAGATATACCCTTTTCGTCATTCTGTATGTCAGCGTGGACTCTGGTATCATCGTGCCTTTGGCGAGACACCACAGTTGAATTCGAAGATTGCAGTCCATAAGAGGTAGAACCACCCCTATCTCTGGATGAAGAATATTTTAAATTATCTGGGTCGGCTGATGCACTATCAGTTCTGTCAAGAGAGGAAAATATAAGTAGAACTTTAAACAATCATTTTAATGGCACATCTTTCTTTTATACAAGCATCTCCCTTCTCCCCACCTGTTATACTCGATCATTATTATTATATGTAAAACTCCAATATGTAATAAGGAGTCTTTCAATTGTGAAGAGGTTGTAAATGAATAAAATGCCAGGTTTTCAGTCTCTCCTATACTCTTTTTTTAAGAGAGATTTTTTTGCTATAGGGCACATGCACTTGCCAGAGAGACAGAAAAAGAGAGAGAGAAAGGAAAGCAAGAAGTCACCCCCCCAGGGGGCTGACCACACCACAATCTCTCTTCTCAGGATCTTAGACACTCATGAGCACATGAACCTGGTGTGAGCTTTAAGCCACCAGGTCTGGGGCTCAAACCACAGTCGACCTTGTGGGAACCCAGAGATGCAACCATTATGGCATCTGCTGGTCTCATCTGTGTCTTCTATTCTAGAGATCCACTCAGAAATATAAATAACTAACAAGATTAGGGTCACCAATTCATCCTAGTATGCCAGAATTTTACTGGTTTTAGCACCCAAAGTCTCATGTCCCAGGCAAAATGAGATATAGTTGATCACTTTGTTTCTAGATTCTCTTCACGTGACTTGATAAAAAGAATTTCCCTGACTCTTTCCAGAACAAGGTTTATCAGTCAAAAAATCAGTCACAAAAATAAAAGGCATACCATAAGTAGCATGTCAGGTAGGGGCAATGTGTTACCAAATTATTTTAGTAAATATGGTAATGTGCACTAAACTCTAGACTCAATCCCAACTTAATTATTTGGTGAAAAAATATAGAATGACATTTGAAAGGAAACTCAATACAATATTAGGAAAGAACACATCGGATGCAGAGTAACATTTTATTTATGGCTTGTAAAACTAAACACCCATGAAAGATGCCTTAGCTATCAAAAAAAAAAAAGAAATTATAAAAATGAGGAAATAAATTTTAGAAAATAAAAGGTATCAAGAATCCAACAAAGCTCTATTTAAAATTTAAAAACTATTTAGAATAATTTCTTGATACTTGGGTATTAACAAACAGGCAGTGCAATGCAGGGTCAAATAGTGTCCTTATCTTATCGCTCTTAGTTCAGTGCTTCTACTTCCTCATCAGTAAAACAGAACTAAGCTGTAAGATTTCTCATGAGTTGTATTCTTTTTTTTTTTTTTTTGACAGGTTTTTGCTATAGGGCGCATGCTCAACAGAAAGAGAGAGACAGAACGAGATAAATCATCCCCCCCCCCAAGGGGATGGCCACATGGCAATCCCTTCTCCTCCATTCTCCTCTTGGAATCTTGGGCACTCACGCACACACGCCCGGCATGAGTTTAAGCCACTAGGTGCAGGACTCACACCACAGTCAACTGCATGGGAGACCAGCGACAATAGCCATTATGCCAACTGCTGGTCCCAATGAGTTGTATTCTTCTAACCACATCATAAAATACTATAGCATTAAGAAAAATATAAATAAGAAGTTCCTCTCCTGCTCATTTTCTCCTCAGAGAAACAGCCTTCTGGAAAAAAATTCATTTCTAAGATATTTACCAAAAAAACCTTCTGAAGCCATAATCATTTAGAAAAGTCAGGACACTGGCAAGGGCAGAAGCTATCTATTCCTCAACCTTCTGCCTCTCCCTTCCATGTGTAAAAATGACAGTAATGTGTGTGTGTTTTATTTAAATTTAATCATTTTTTTCCCCTCTTAAATACTAAACATGAAAATGTACAGGCTCAATCAGTTAACCACCTCTGTACTTAACTACAATCACTGCTAATACAGAATTCAGGTACTAGGTCAGTTAAACTTGTATACCAAACTGGCACAAGTATAAACATTCCTAAAGGCTCTCATGACAAAATTCCATATTCTGACATACTAAATTAACTAATGTTCATAATGGGGTATCTTTTTTGAAAATGCACCAATTTACTTGTTCACACACCAAACTCAGTAACATAAGGATAAAATAAAATCTATAAAATTTAAAAAAAAAGAGGGTATTTTCTAAATATACTAAGTCTATAAGCATTAAAATATCGTTAATATTCACTGAAACATGAGAACTTTTTTTTTAACTAATGGAAAGACATTCCCTATGTATCTAAAAACAGCTTATTAAATGTGCACCTAGAATAAATTATAACATACCATTATTTGCTGAAAGGGGATTGAAAAATAAAGCTTATGAACTTAAAAAATGACAGATTTTGAATCTGTCTATATATATAAAACACCTAATATAATCTGGAAAAACTAAGCTGTTGGTAAGTGAAGGAACATGACTGATTCTAAAATACAAAAATAACTTGTCTAACAATATTTAAACATGCCTTCATTTTCTGTTTTCATTTTGTTTACATATCACACATACTACCCCTACTATTATAAAGTTAAATATTTATATTATTTTCTAGTGACACAGTATTAACATAAGAAAGCAGAGAACACAGGTTAAAAAAGATCGGGCTCCAATCCCAGCTACAACACTGAAAAGATACGTGTGCCTTTAAACAATTACTTCATGCACAAGGCTTTCTGTATGAAATGCCTTTTGCATGAAATGGGGATAATACCTATCTAACAAGGCTTAATTGCAGGATACATTAAAAGTTACTGTGACTGTAATACAAAATAAACTCAAGGTTTCTAATCTAAACAATCAAAACAAATTTTTATTCTCAATTTATAAAACTCATTTTAAGTTTCTCACTGAAAAAAGTAAGCAATTTATTATTACCAAGAAATTCATTTCTAAGAAAGCATAATTAGGAAACATCTGATTTCAAACTACACTGTAAAAACCAGAAATGTTCCCATACATTAGAAATACGGGGTTTTTAATCCCATTAAGTTATTAAAGCTGATATCCCCCCCATATGGGTTTTTAGAAAACCAAAATAAAAGTCACTAAGACAGAAACTGTCTCAGAACTGACCCAAAATTTCCCAGTTGCCAAGTTTTTTTAATGCGAATTGATCAAAACAGTCCCAACCAGAATTCATATTATAAGTATTCTAAACCCGCAAGTATAAATGATTCAACATTTATATGAAATCTCTATTTTTAATATCTAGACTGCTTAGGTCGCAGAAAAAATATGTCAACGCCAGGCTGTTCATACCAATAAGACCATCCCAGTCCATTAAATAGAAAACCCTTAAAGAACGGAAATGAATACTTAAAAATGAGGCAATCAAAGACACAAAATAGAAAAATGCAGATTTGAACTCCCAGAGGCAGGCATAAATGTTAGCTAGTTAGTTAGAAGGGCTGAAAGAACTATCATCTGCCAGAATTAGTGTCTCAATTTAGTGAGAAAAGAAAACATTATCTGTTAAGGCTGAGAATCCTAGCAAGAATCCAAAAATACCTCCACAAGCCCCCTTTAATACTCTAAAAATATGGAGAGGAAAAAAAGAAATGAATAAATTTCCCCAAAATGATCAAACTGAAGTTAAAGCCTGATGTACATGCCACATGAGAGGTAAGTTTCTAAAGCTCATACCTCAAAAATCGCATACTGTATAATATGGAGCCTTTGTGATGTTTTGCATCAAGTCAATCTGTAAGACAGTAGTTACAATATTAGTGAAGACAGTGGGTTAAAACATTTGTTGTTCAAACATGAAGCAATTATCACTTATGGATTAGGTGCTTTTAGCTGAACTATGTCCCTGTTACGGTGCATATACTGAAGCAAAAATTGAAATGGAAAGCCACTCTCCCTGCCTTCAAGGATTAAGAGGTTTAAGGTGGCAACCAAAAAACCTTTAGCACAGAATTTAAATATTAACTGTTAACATATGAATCACATGCAAATATGGTCACAGCTCATTTTAGTTTCCTATTCTCAACCTAAAGAATGTACAGATTATTTAGAAGATCAGTCATTCTGAATGCCTCAAATCTTTAGACTCACATCAACAATCTACCACGTATTAGGAGGATGGAAGCTCCTGGCTAAATGTGGTTTTATGGTGCACGTCCTGTAAGCATTAGAAAGAGTAATTCCTACAACCCAACCACCAAAAACAGCATCTCTGGAAAGTGGGAAGTTTCAGAGAAATTCCCTATCCAGAAGTACTTCTGTGAAGCACCCCAAAATGACTTGATGCAAACAAACACCACACCTAGTGGTGCCACCAAAGTTAAGAATTGTATTGTTGCGAGATGTTTTAACCTAGACTTAATTTTGCCGAGGCCAGCCAGCACAGTGGCGTGGTAGTTGAGGCATTGGATTCCCACATGGTCAACAACAGTTAAGGTCTCAGATCTGGCAGTTTGCTTTCTTACTTTCCTTCTCTCTCTCTTTCCTCTCTCTCTCTCTCTCCACTCCTCTCCTTCCTTCCCTCCCTTCCTCCCCCCCTTCTCATCCCTACAGCAGATTTTAAAAAGAATTCAATGAAATTTAATCATTCTTTTTAAGAAAAGGAATTTTGCCTTTGTGGTGAGATCTAATCTGTGGTAAATATAAACCAGAAAACAAGATTTGCACTAAAGCCAATGAGGTAGGAATGCATTCATTCTGTAAAGTAATAGACTGTACTCACATAGTAGCACTATCACAAAATAGATGTAGCATATGCTGTGAGTTTTTCATACTAACATTTAATACTGCCTGAAAATGACTTTCCTTTTAAAAACAAATTCAAGGTAGGGCCAGCAGGTGACACGGTGGTTGAGGTGCTAGACTCCCACACACAGCTGAAGCAGTCTGAGTCCTGGACCACCTAGTGGCTTGCTTTCTCACTTTCCCTTTCTCTCTTTCTTTCTCTCTCTCTCTCTCTGTCTCTCCCTCTGTTGAGTGCACGTGCACTACAGCAAATTAAAAATAATTAATAAAATTAAATAATTCTTTTAAAAAATAAATTCAAGGTTATCCCTGTAATGCCTCTTACTTGGATTCAGACATGATTTCAAGACGGATAACAGAAAGGATAAAACTGCATAACCCTAGGCCTACTGTGCATCACTTTTACGTTACAAACACTGCTCTAAATACGCATCTCTAGCTAGACTTTATGATACAAAACTTATCTCACTGAAAACTTCAAGTTCAAATTTAACCAAACAAATGCACCATCCCATGTCAAAATTATGAGTTAATATCAGTTTTGCAATACAGAAATATTAATTGAACAAAGCAAAGCTTCCTGATCGAAGTTCCTTAGCTATCTAAATATTTAAGTGTGTATAATAACAAATTTTACTTGTCACTTTCTTTTTTTTTTTTTTCCCTTAGGCCACATGCACCTGCTGATCAAAGACAGAAAGAAGTAAGAAATCACCTCTCAGGACCAGCAGTTAGCGTAATGGCTATGTCACTGGACTCCCATGTAGTCGACTGTGGTTCAAGTCCTGGACCCAGTGGCTTAAACTCATGCCAGGCGCGTGTGCATGCGTGCCCAAGATCCCCAGAGGAGAATGAAGGAGAAGGGAATGTGGCGTGGCCATACCCTCTGGAGGGTGATATCTCGCTTTCTGTCTCTCTGTCTCTTTCTGGCAAGCGCACACACCCTATAGCAAAAACCTCTCACACACACAAAAACAATCACCCCCCAGGAGGGATGGTCATAATGCAAATTCCTTCTGCTCCATTCTTTCAGGATCTGGGGCATACACACACATGCCTGGCCTGATTTTTAAACTGCTGGGTCTAGGGCTCGAACCACAGTTGGCCATATGGAGTTCAGTGTCTAAACTGCCATGTCACGTGCTGGCCATTGTTACCAATTTTTAATTGTTCATCAGACTATTAGCTAAATAGCCACTGCAGACTGATAAAATACAAAAATAAATTTAACTAACAATTTAAAAATTGTAAAGAATTCTACCTTGCCTAAAAAGAGGTCTGTTTTTCTTACCTGTGACTTCTGGAAGCTAATCTCTAAGCCTTGTTGTGTCTAGACAAGTGTCCTTCTTCACCTAGGGGCTATCCACCACATCAGAAAGTTTAACAATGAGACTTTTAAGGGGGCTTTGAGCCACATGGATAAGCTCATCCCCTAGAGGTGCTACAGACTAAGGTCAGCCACATGAGCAGTCAATTATGAAGCCAAAATACAAACTCAGGCTGGAGTGACCTTCCCTGATTGGATACTTCACAGGCACTGTCACATTTCAACGCCAGGAGGAAAGTAACACTGTTCACAATTCCACAAAGAGAGGACAACCAGAATTCTTATATCTAACTTTCCTTGACTGTGCCCTATGTCCATTTACCCTTCGCTGACTTGAAACATAGCTATGAGTAGAAGAGCTTTCAGTAAGTCCTTCTGGTGAATTCTCTCACCTAGAAGTGGTCTTGGGAACGCCCCCAAACGTGCAACTAGTGACAGAAGAAAGGGTGGTCTCGCAGACTGTACTCCATCTAACTCTGCATCTATATTTAAAATCATAAAACCACCCCTAACCAAAGATTGTAATTTTTTCAAATTTGCTATTGGGCATGTGCACTCATCGGAGAGAGTAACAGAGAGAACTACTCAAGGGGATGACCATGCCACAATCCCTTGGGATTTGGGGATTTTGCTCACATACACACATGCACCCAGCATATTTTTCAAGCCTCTGGGTCCAGACTGGAACTGCTCAGTCAGTCATGTGGAATCCAGCTGTTTTAACCACCAGACCCTGTCATTTTTAAAAATAACCTCTTTAGTAAACAGTAAACATCTGACTTCAGGATAGTTCATTTCCCTGCCCAGAAACTTCAAATACTCTATTAACAGACCTCTAATAAATAAACCAGAAGGAGCAAACAAGCCAATAACTCTATGTAGGCAATTCCTCAGATTTAATCTTCGCTTCACTTACAGAAGTGTCTTCCAAGAAAAGGTTGGTGAATGGTGAACACCATGCTCATTCTTTTTCTCTAAGTACTACTTCAATGTTTCCCAGCCAGGGTTCTTTCCTTTTCAAAACAGTTGTCAAACGTTCTGTTCCTTTTACCTTCCCCCAACATTACCAGTAGACCACCTTAAAGGATCCTGCTTTGCGACAAACAGAATCCATTTGGTAGCACTCTCAATCATAAGAGCTAACATTATTGAGCTCCTACCAAGTATCAGTAGGGAATTTATCCAATCAGTATACATTATCATCTCATTTAATCCCTAACACCATCTTATTAATTACCACTTTCCAGACAAAATAACTAGTTCCTTAACTGATAAAGGTTGCAGTTTGTAAAAGGCAGAATTCAGATCCAGTTCTGTTTAACATTCCATCACTGCCTGACAACCTCCTCCCCAATAAATTCGCAAGTTGCCCTACGTCACATACTGCCTTTCTTTTCCATCATCCTTGCACAATGGAACAAGTAAACTTCCTATCTACAGAAATAATCTGGATCTTTATTTTCCCATTTTCCAAGGTATGCTTCATTTTCTCTTCTATGCTGTAAAACCCCCACTTTATGACTGTTCATCACATTATCCACATACAAGAGGATTTTCAAAATGTTCATGGAAAATACGTATTATGAAAAATTATGAATTTCAAAATTTTTTCCACCAAAATAAACTTGAACTTTAATTCCATTTCTTCATAAACTTTTTGAAGTCTCCTCAAATGAGCACTCTCAAGTCCTTCCTCTAAAAAAAAACAAAATCTTGGGAACCAGCACTTAGCGTAATGGCTATGTCGCTGGACTCCCGTGTAGTCGACCGGGACCCGGTGGCTTAAATCTCACGCCGGGCGGGCGCATGTGCGTGCGTGCCCAAGATCCCGAGGGGAGAATGGAGGAGAAGGGATTGCGGTGTGACCATCCCCCCTGGGGGTGATTTCTCGCTTTCTGTCTGTCTGGCGAGCGCACGCGCCCTATAGCAAAAACCTCTCCCCAAAAAAAAAAAATCTTAACTCTCGTTCTCCTATAAATCTATTAATAATTGTCTAGACTCCTCTGAACCAAATCGCTTGAAAAATCTATCTTCTTTGTCTTCACTCACTTCTCAACCCACTATAACTTGGTTTTCACCCTCAGCACACCACGGAAACTGTTTCTGCTAATATAGAAACTGCTACTCAGGACCTCTTGTCTCTTAAAATCCCAGTGGCGTTTTTCAGTTCATTTTAACACTCTCACTTGATATCATTCTAATGTTTTTTTTCAGTAACTAATTCTAGTCCCTCTCTACTTTTCCTTAGTCCAAGTACTCTCTTCCTTCTTCATACCCTTCTTTAATCACCTTAGATTTCATGGTCTATCATTTCAATAACACTCTTGCCAATGCCCTTAACCTCCCTTAAGATTTTTCTCACACCAATGTGGCAAAACCCCAACTCTGGGCAAACCCAAATACCAGTTATTCATCGGTAGGCACCACATTCCCACATCCCCCAATGCTCATCTCAAACTCTACACGTACTATCCAGAACTACTCCATTACCTTCAAATTCTAAAATACTCTCTTAATGCCCCCCCACACATACACCTATAAACTCATATTAGCTCTACCACACCAAGAATAAGAGAGATACAATAGATCTGCAGCCAATTCTAGACCTTGATTAGTATTTCACTACTTGTACCTTCTTTCTTTTTTCTAACTAATAAGGGATACATGCATTCTCCAGAGAGAGA